CATTATCACATATGGGACAGTATGATATATCTTCAACACTGTATAAATTCCATGGTTATATTTCCATTTTTCTGGACACTGATCCAGCCTTCTTTTGAGACCATTGATAATTTTTTTTCATACTCTCCACAGGGTTTATTTTTACTCTCCTCATGTCCAGGACAATCTAGCCTTTACATGTCATAATATATATATATTAAGCTGCTAATTGTTATTGCTTTTTAATAAGCTATGATTTCAGATCATTTGATCCATAGTGATGGCTATACGTTATGACCTGTTTGCTTAGCAACTGTTCCTTAAGGAACATACCTGTACAATCTCACTATAGTCTAAAGCAACAATCCCTATGGTAAACACATTGCAATCCGGATCGCCTTTTTTTTTTTTGTACTGTTTTTAATTACATGTTCAGTGGTTCTGTGTTTCACTGACAACAGATATCATTCTTTTTCCCTGCCATGGGATTTATAAATATGTGGTTTTACACATTAGCTACATTGGCTGGGTGGTTATTACCTATCTCGGTAGTATGCGCTATGCAACTACTTTTGTTTCTAGTTCTAAAACAAACCTAATTTTTTATCAATCACAGACATTTTACCACTAAACTGCTAATGGTTCACAGTAGGGATGCACCGAAATTTAGGCAGCCGAAACAGATCGGCTTAAAATAGCCCTATCAGCATTTTAGCTGACCCAGGTGCCAATACAGGGGACTGTGTGTACTGCAGAGGAGGCGGGTGTTTAAAAGGCAGGAGAGGAGCAGTGTATACAGTGAGCTACCGCTAAATATCATTTCCAGTTTTTAAATGTAATTACCAGACTTTTTTTCCCCTTCACTAAAGCTCCAAGAAGGGGCTGTCATTCTCTCCGCTGCTAAAGGAAACAAAAAAGGGGGCTGGGCTCCCTGGGTAACCCCATCCCCTTGTTTCCTTTAGCAGCAGGGAGAATGACAGCTCTTTCTTGGAGCTATAGTTAAGGGGTGGAAAAGACAACCCCCCCCCCCCCCCAATTTAAAAATGACCATAGCCTGAGTGTATACACTACCCTTCCCTGCCCCCTCCTTGCATACACAAACCCCTCCCCTCCAAAGAGGACCTGTCATTCATATACGATCACATAGGGGACCAATAGTCCCCTGATAAGCAAATAAAAAAAACTTAACTGTGCGCCACTAGTTCACAGTATAGAAATATATATTTTACTAACATACAATGTATAAAAAGTATTTGGTGATGAACATATACGTCAAATAAAAAAAAAAAAAAAAAAAAAAAAAAAGGAAGGGAGACTCTCACCCCAGGTAAATTTTATTTCAACCATTTCAAAATGACATTAGAGGCACAATATTATATAAAGGCTATGTGTTACTTCATTCAAACCCTTGCCACCCAAAGAGCTAGGAGTTGCATGTACAGTCTGACAAACACTCGGACCAATTTATAAAAAAACTAGAGCCAAAGAGAAATAGGGTGCTGCTTAGAGCAACCAATCAGCTTTTGGCATTCCTTCTCTAAACTGAAGTGCGAGAAAACCAAAACCTTAAACTGGTAGAAACAAGCAGCAGCTCCAGTTCTCATAAAATCAGTCTGCCTATACATTATTTTTCATGCGAAAAACAAAAAAAAAAAAAAAAAAAAAAAAAACCAAAAAAAAAAAAAAAAAACTTCTTTTGAACACTCCGACATCCGGTAGATATTTTTGTACAAACTCAATAAAACAATGCTTTTCTGTAGCAAACAAACATATGCAAATTGAAAAAAAGCTTGCATTTCAGAATTAGTCTCAGAAGGGTGCAGTTATGTATACATCAGGTTACAATCACTATTCACTAAGTACACCACAGTTACAGTCTGTATGGTCCTTTATTTGTATATCCTTTTTGAGGCTCCTCCCAATATAGGGAAAATAAATTCAACATAAAATTGTAGTGCATCAAACAAGGCAAAAATAATCCTCAAAAACCTCCATGAATGTCCTTGTATCTGAAACCTCGGACAGTGGGACACTAATGGAGATGCCCGAAGCCAAAAAAAAAAAATTATATATATTTATATATAGATATAGTTAACCTGTTGGATTACAGTCGGTTGTATTGAGAGGAGCAGTCTTCGAACAAAGTCTGTGTAGAGGGAAAAAAAAAAAATCTAAAAAATAAAGTGTGAAGGCAGCCAGCAATGACGTTAAAATTCTCTGGATGACACAATGTGAAGAAAAACTGATATTAATAACATGGCACCTCACAGGTGGCAAGAATGTAGAGCAGCCGTAAACCCAAAATGAAAACTGGTACCCAGACGGCAAAGTGAGCAATTCAAGACACATCTGTAAACAAAAAGAAAATATTAACAATTATAACGAGATATACAGTATACAGGCAATTATTATTGTTATTAAACCCAGGCCCCTGCATTCACTATATCTGGTCTCCCACAGTACACAGAACATGGCAATGCAATTATTATAGTAAATATAAACTGCTAAATACCTTTTCTCATCAGTAGTATATAGCAGTCTTGTAACATCTGTCAGTGCCCAGCCGAGCACCGCTTAAAGCTTGTAGGAGGAGCTTTCATTCTCCTCTGACTGTCCTATGAGGCTGCATGACCCTAGACCCTCTGTCTGGACAGTGCTGACTGGTCCTGTGCTGATCACATGCAAACTCCACCCCCCCCCCCCCAAAAAAAAACAAAAACACCTCTCTCTAGCAATACACATCAAATTGAGCATGTGCAGAGTGCCTCCTAGGGCTCTGTACTATCAGCAGAAGGATTGGGGACTGTAGAAGGAGAAGATCAGAGAAGACAGGATCAAACAGCCTTTTTACACAATGTGGAGGATAAGTAAGTGTAACAAGCATGCTTTACTGCATATACAGACTGATTTTACTGTTGTGGGTTTAGTAACACTTTAGGGGGGGAAAAAAAAAAAAATGTAAGCGACTTAAAATTCTGACCCCCCCCCCCTTCCTTTCTACTGAGAAAGCATGCACACACTTACCCTATCTACTCTGCCAAAATGGATTGGTGCCACACAGCCTCCTACTGACAATCCTTCCAGTCAGGTTCAACTTGTGTGTGTACACCAGCAATCTAAGTTCATTTCACCGAAAAGTCTATTCTGCTAGTCCCAGTGAAGTACAGCTTTTTTTTTCTTTTTTTTGTTACTGGAGTGAATGACGCTTATGGTGCGTTTTTTTTTAAAGGTAGTGAGGCACTTAGGATGGCCATACATTATACAATTTTTTTGCTTTAGATTTACCAAAAACCATATAATAGGAGGTCAAACCCAAACAACACTTTCAGTTGTACCCAATTAGGCAGGCCCTTGCACTACACAGTTGAACTTGTATAGTGTATGACCAGCCTTAGAAATCCCCACAGCAAAGATCTCAGCAGAGCAATGACAGATACATGTACCAAGTAAATATTTAGAGTTTACAGCAGGTAATGCTGTGGATGTTCATTACCTATAATCAATTAGTTTGAAGTGGACTAGAGGTGTTCTCCGGTCAAAAAAAAAAAAAAAAAAAAAATCTGAGATGCATTAGCGATATATAAATAAATAAACGTAGTTGCACAAAAGCAGACAGCCATCTTAAATTAAAGAAAACTCAAAAGGCCTTTGTAATAAATATAGAAAGCTGCCACTGACAACTTCTTTAACAGATGCACTTTCCATGCCCATTATCTCCATCTTCTCTACTTCAAGATTCCACAAAATCACCGACCTAGGTCCCTGACTAAGTGGTCAAGTAGATATACAGATGACCACGTTGCAAAAGGCAAAATCGTAATTCAGCAATGAAAGCACTTCTATTCTGAGTCAATGGGCTCATGTTAAACGGAGATGGAGTGGCATTTGTCTTTATAGCATAGCTCCCGTGTCTGCTCAATAGCAGGGTTACTTTTTTTGGCTCCATAAGATATGTGAAAGCAAGTTGCAGCTTTGTTAAAGCATTTTCTGTAAATGTCATGTCACCATTTAGTCTAAGGTGCAGACTGGAAAGCACACCAAGCCACAGCTCCAGTATGGAAGTAATGAATAAATGGGCTGCTCTATGACCATTTATAGCTTCTTCCAGATACGTAAAAAGATGATGTTTTCATGTGCTATTGAACAAAGCCATTGTAACAGACTTCAGAACCACAGTTCGGACCTTTTTGGTAGCCTTCTGATGCATGACACGGTCACAACACAGACAATTCAATTCCCCTTGTTTACAGTTGGGTCACTTCATACAGCCACTGTGGTGAATAGAACTGAATGAAATGTCCCATTAAGATGGTTAAAGTAGAATATGCTGTTTTTAGCACACTGGCACTGCGTCTGACACAGCGCACACCAATGGCTGCTTTCCAGCACAGCTGATGTTGTGAATGAGCCCCCATTCGCACAGATGCGACTTGTCATGCGATTTGAGCGGGCAAAGCGCATGACAAGTCACATCCAATGATTGACAATGGAACCGTTCTAATCGGCGTGGCTCCAACTTTGTTCCTGCACTACTTTTGCCAGTTTCACGTATGACTTACAAAGTCACTTTGACATGTAACTTAGAAATTGTGCAACTTCACTTAAAAATCGCATGATTTCATAGTCACATTCAGTGTGAACCAGGGCTAAATGTCATTCCGAAAGTCAGGGGAGCAAATAATACACATCTGTGGTAGCCTGCATTAAAATGGACCTTTAGTGAACGTGTACTGCCTGTACTTACCTACCCACCCCGTTACTACACAGTGTGCTGTGTAAAATGTCTACCTTCCTCTCTGTTCCAGTGATCCTCCCTGCCCAGTGCCAAACAGTCCATTAAAATGTCCTCCAAAGTGTGCATGCACACCACGGCCTATTCATCATATGGGTGAGCTGTACTGCGCTAGACAACTGGCTCACGACCAAGGAAGCAGAATCTAGCTACATATTTTTCTAAAAACAACATGCTTCTTATAAAAATTGGTCCAAAACCAGTAAACATTTACTTTAAACCAAGATTATTAAAAAAAAAAAACAAATAACTTACAACTTGTAGGCCTTGTTCCGTACCGTCGCATAATCTGATCATGTGTAAATTTCACAAAGGATTCATATTGTTCTAAGTAAATAGAAAAAATATAAAATTAGGCAGCTATATCAAAACAGACACTCCCAAGATTTTCCTTTCTAGGTTTAGAAAATGTAGTGATGTAGTGGGGGGGAATATAAAAAAAAAAAAAAAAAAAAAAAAAAGAAGGGTTCCACAATGTGCCAACATATTCTACACTGTCTTTTTCTGTACAATGTGCAGTATATGTTGCGTACAGCACATGACACCGCTACAAGCTCTCATGTTCGATGTTCTATACGTCATAAAGAACTGTCATGTTAGACAAGTTATTCTTGCCACTAGGATTTCTGAAATATACCCTTTTAAATGAACAGGCACGCTTTTTACGAGTTGCATCTTAAAAGAAAAGCCAGAAGTAGTGTCCCATTATAAACGTAAGCTGCCCATACATGGATCGAAATTCGTCCAGTTCAGCAGGGACCGGCTGAATCTCGTTCCACGTGTGGGCGGGCAGGTAAGCTATGCAAAAGTCGATTGACTTCTGTACAACCGGTGTGTTGGGTTTTCCATGAGCAATTAGTGCCAGTGGGAAGTATTTCCCCATCCACATCGAGTGCCTAGATTGGGGAATCCGGTAAATTTTTTCGTTCAACCCACCAGTTGAACAAAAAAAGAAGCATGGATGGGCTGCCTTAGTTAATTCTACAGTCTCAATGTGTTTGTTTAACTAGGCATTCGTATAGTTCTAATCCCTGTACTATTTGTTTGCCTAACCTTGTAATGATGGTGTCACATGTTGTGGCTGCAGCTTGTAGCTTTATAACTGATTGAGTCCCCTATCTACATGTGTTAATCCACCTACTCTGCCCCCTATTCAGCAGCAGGACAAGAAACTTCTAGTTTCAGCTCAGATGAATGCCTGACCATTTCTCTGTGTTTCATCATAAATGCATATGAATATAAAAAAAAAAAAAAAAAAAAAAAAAAAAAACACAACACAAAACACACACCTCTTTCAGCATGGTAAGCTTTGTTAAAAGAAATACGGCGAAAGCATTTTTTGGCCATACTTCTCGAAGGTCACAGGAGGGAACTTAAGTTTGTGACCCAGTTATCCAATAGCTCACAAAGCAGAGCTGCTGCTCTAGGATCTGGAAGGATCCCAACAATATTGTCAGGATCAACCTAGATGCCTGATCAACAGCTGGCTCAGCCTATCAGCATGCCACGCCGCAGCATGGAGGTGAATATGTGTGTGTTTCTCAAATTCCACACAGCACTAGACAGACCCAGAGATTGTGAGATCGAGTTTCTTCATAGGAAGTGTTGAATCTAGGACTACAGACAGCGGTCACACATTATCCTGTGCAGTGCAATGCCTCACGTTTTAAACAAACGGAAATTTCTGACAAAAGGAATGTGATGATTTACTCCACTATAGATTCTGTGTACAGGGCAACAAATGACACCATAAAAATACATGATCTTACGCAGGTGAACACCACAAGGTGCAGATTAAGTAGTACTGAAGGCCAAATCATTTTTAATTTGCATAAGTTAATGGAAGGGTATAGCCTTTGCGCAGTTTATTTTTGCCATATCTCTAACATTTTATGAGATTTCATGTTCTGTTCCATAGCTACAACAGGAAGTGAAAGGAAATTCCTTCAAAGAGAAGGAAATCCCTGATAGTCACCAGGACAGTAGAAATAATGACCCCATTGGAATATTTCCTTTTCTGGTGACCACCCACTGAAAATTTCTTTCACTTTCAGTGAAAACAGTCACCAGGACAAGTTGAGAGGGTACATCGGGGCTTGACAAATTTTTTTGAATCTAGAAGCCAGCTAAAAAAAATTAGGAGTCTTTTTTTTTTTTTCTTTAGTGTGGGTTGTCAGCGCCCTGGGACTTCATGCGATGCGATTTTCCATGCAACAATCCACAGCAAAACCGTACCACGTTTTAGGAGCTCTTGAAAATAATCACACCTGAACCTGCGTTTTGCGATCACAGCAATTCTTCTGCAATCCCCAAAACAAGCAGATGTGAATGAAACCACCCTGGTTCACATTTTGGACTAGGACTTTTGTCTTTTTTTCAGCCATACTAACATGTAACTATGTAACATATGCGATACAGGATTCGTTTTGAAATGAACAGATGCGCATGACAGGCTAGATATTTTGTATCCCTATTGAGGTGGTTCATACAGATGCAATCCACACGCATTGTATTTTGAGTGTCATTATGAAAAGGGTGCTGTGTGAGCTTGTAACGGTGCGTTCCAGACTCGCAAGTGATAGAGCAGAGTGGCATGCAGCGATAAGTGTACACAGATTGCTATAGGGTGCCACTTCCCACTGAAGTCTACAGGGCGCCGCTTCCCACTGAAGTCTACAGGGCGCCGCTTCCCACTGAAGTCTACGAGAGGAAGTGTGCGAACCCAGGCTTCAGGACGTAGAGCTAGCTATAGTCGCTGTGGCGACCTGGGATCTGTTGAGTCCTGGAGTACATAGACAGCAATAAAACTAGAGATATGTTCTAATATTTCAAACTAAACACCACACACACACACACACACTTGGTTTGTCTTCAGTTATACCACAAATGTTTACAATTCCTTGTAGAATGGAAAAAAGAAAAAATGTTTAAGCAAATATGGCAGAAGCACCAACCTTCTAGTTTTGTGTTTAGGATCTGCTCATATTCTTCCCTAATCTTGTCTTCGTGGTCCTTCAGTAGACGTTCACACAGAATTCCTACTTGTCGTAAGCTGAATGTTGGTTGGTCTTTCTTCACCACTGAACCTACAAAGTAATGGAGTTGGGAGACGGTCTCAGTTTTATTTTACCAGTATTCGTAAACATCATTCAAAAAACCCGACATGGAGACTAACACCACCAATGGTCAGAAACTCTGCGGAGTGCCTGCATCCACCAAGGTCAGGTCAGGTAGATGGATTACAGGAGATGGATAGGTAGCCTACTACTAAAGACGAGGCATAAAGTTTTTGGATGGGAATGAATTCTGGAAATGTGCGTGTGATTACAGTGAACTTTGATAGTTGTCCACCTCAGATTTTATGGCAATAACACTTTGTCTGTCTATAAATACTACACAATCTTATAAACTGATATAATAACCTATTAAGCCCTTCTCTATTGTTTCAGTTTTGCTGCAACAAACTTTGCTCAGGTTATGTCTGGCTGACCATTCCATTAGTTAATGATCATAGATGTGCATAATATAACTCCCCCCCCCCCCCCCCCAGAGTTATATGCTGTGTGTCGTTAAACTAGTGGTAGATCGAAAATTGGATGGGAAAGCAAGGATTGGCTGAACTTCAATCCATCCATGACCATTCCAGATGTTTGAAAGAAGTTGATCTAATGACTGACTTCTCATGAACATGCTGGATGGAAAAAATTTTTGTTCAAATCAGCGCTGATCAGTTTATTCTGACAGTGGAGGAGTCCCTGCTGTCAGAATACAACACAGCAGGGAGGATTCCTCCGTCCACCTAAAAAAAAAAAAAAAAAAACAAGAACAAAAAAACCACACCATGTATGTCCAGCTTCAGAGCCTGCTGTAGACACCAGAATATAATCTGCATTATTAACATTCTTCCAAATACAATCTTGCTTATTGTAAATCTACTGTAGTCATTACCTGGTGAGGATGGAGCTGTGAGAGATGTACTGGCTTGAACCTCGTGTCCATTTTCACTTTGGTTGAAAGCTCCTTCTAGCTGTCGTCGTCTATGGTAGCGTGTATATTCCTGTCTCAGGTTCTGAAAGATTTGTTCTTGAAAACAAAAAACATAAAATAAGCAACTGCTACACACCAACCTACCATACAACAGAACAATAAGCTCTAAAAGAAAAAATATTGTACCCCACATAAGAAAAACAAACATTCAATTTATATGAAATTTTTGCAAAATACTGTGAAAAAGTTTTAGGCAGGAAGAAGAAGTGCGGTAAAGTAATACTGCCTTCAAAAAACATATTTTGGTTATTTCTATCAATTTACAAAATGCAAAGTGAGTGAACAGGAGAAATAACAAAATCCATACTTGGTGCGACTACCCTTTGGTTTCAAGCCAGCATCAATTTTTACACTTGCACACTTCACTTGCACAGTCAGGGATTTTGAAGGATTAGAGTCAGGTGTAAGATTAAAGCGGAATTTCACCCAAAAAGGAGAGGTTCAGCACTTCCTCCTCTACCCCCTTATTCTGGATTTGACAGGGTCCCACTCTCACTTCCGCTTGGATCGCCAAGGTGATCCGAGTGGAAGTTCTCCTTTCCGCAAAATTGAGACATCACAGGAGCCAGAAGACTGAGACAATTCAGATAGCGCATTGTGGCCTGCACATGCACAGCCGGCTGTGAAGCCAAAAAGACTCAGCGCTGGATCCCTGGACAAGCACGTGTGTTTATTAAAAGTCAGCAGGTACAGGTTTTTGTAGCTGCTGACCTAATTTTCACACATTCGACGGAAGCTCCTATTTAACCATTATTATCAAGCAGGTGCTAACAATCAATTTAAAAAAGAAAAAAAAAACCCACCACACACAGTCAGTAACCACGTGCCTACTGGACACTTATACCCCCTTCTGGCCCAGGCCAATTTTCAGCGCTATCGCACTTTGAATGACAATTGCGCAGTCTTGCAACACTGTACCCATATGAAATTTTTTATATTTTTTTTTCCACACAAATAGAGCTTGCTTTTGTGGTATTTAATCGCCACTGGGCGTTTTATTTTTTGCGCTATAAACAAAAAGCAAAAAAATTTTGAAGAAAAAAAAAAAAAGTTTTTCATTATTTCTAATAAAAAATTTTGCAAACAGGTAATTTTTATCCTTCACCGATGTGCATTGATGAGGCAGCACTGATGGTCAATGACTGACGGCACTGCTGGGCACAGGTGGGTGGCACTGCTAGGCACTGATCAGTGCCAATCTGTTTTCTGACAAATTTCCGGTTATTGGCAGTACTTTCCTCATGCTGTGACAGCGTGAGGAAAGTACAGCCGGCAACTGCATTTACCTGGGGATCTGCTGTGTCATTGGACACAGCTGATCATGTGGTAAAAGGCTGTTGTGATTGGCCTTTTACCACATCAAGTGATCAGCTGTGTCCTCCAAGAACTGGACCACCACGCTGTAGCCATCATTCAGCTATAGACCGGTTGTCAAGTGGTTAAAGTGTTACTAAACCCACAACAGTAAAATCAGTCTATATATGCAGTAAAGCATGCTTGTTATACTCACTCTGGAACCTAAGGGGTTAATCCTCTGCATTGTGTAAAAAGGCCGTTTGATCCCGTCCTCCCCTGTCCCCAATCCATCTGCTGACAGTACAGAGCCATAAAAGGCCCTCTGCACACGCTCAGGTTAGTGTGTATTGCTAGTTTTTTTTTTGTCTTTGGGAGGGTGCATGTGATTAACAAGGCCAATCAGCACTGTCCAGAGTGTCAGGGGTCATGCAGCCGCATAGGACAGTCAGAGCAGAATAAAAACTCCTCCTACAAGCTTTAACCAGCGCTCAGTCAGACAAAGAGAAGTCACAAGACTGCTCTAACTTCTGATGAGAAAAGGTATTTAGCAGTTTATATTTACTACAACAACTGCATTTCCATGCTCTGTGTACTGTGGGAGATCAGATATAGTAAAAGCAGGGTCCGGGGTTTAGTAACTCTTTAACTGAAACAAACAGCTGTGTAGTAGGCTTAAAACTGGGTGAGGAACAGCCAAACTCTGCTTCTAAGGTGAAGTTAGGAAGACAATTTCATGTCACAGGTCATACACCATGGCGAGAAGGAGCACAGCAACAGCACACAAGGTAGCTATTGATCAGAAAGATCTCTCCTAGGCAAATATTTAAAAACAGATGGGTTTCCAGATGTGCTGTTCAAGCTCTTTTGAAGAAGCATAAAAGAAACAGGCAATGTTGAAGACCACAGATGCTGTGGTTGGCTAAAAAAACAATGCAGCAGATGAAAGATACATCATGCTAACTTCCTTTCGACATCAGATGTCCAGCAGTGCCATCAGCACAAAACTGGTGGAAACCAGTGGGAGCCAGGTACTCTCATCTACTGTCTTGAGAAATGTGGCCAAAATTGGTCTACATGGAAGAATTTCGACAAAAAAGGCCTTACCTCCGATGGAGAAACAAGGCTACGTGACTCAACTAGACACTACTGGCTATAGAAGTGTTTGAGAAGTGCTGAAGAGTGAACAATAATGAGAGTCTCCAGGTAACAGCGAAGCATAGTAGAGGTTACTTGCAAGACTGAAGCTGCATTTCAGCTAATAGAGTTGGAGATTTGGGCAGGATCAATGGTGTCTTCAGTGATGAGAAATACAGGCAGATACGTATCCATCACTCCATACCATCAGGGAGGCATGTGATTGGAACCAAATTTATTCTGCAGCAAGACAACAACCCCAAAACACACAGCCATGTCATTAACCTCTTGCCAACTACCTGCCCGCAATGTACTGCAGACGGACGGCAGCTACGGGTACATTGCTCTGGCTGTACCAACACAGGGGGGCACGCAGCACTCCCCCGCGACTACTGTGTCCATGGGACACAGCGGAATGAAGATCACGTTGAACGAGACTCGGTGGTCATGTGATCGCTACGCGATCACAATATTAGCAAAGCTGTTCTGAATCAATTTGATTCTTAACAGCTCTGCTTCTCTCCCTGGTGAGCTGTGATTGGCCCACAGCTCTCACATGGTACATGGGGCCAATCACAGCACCCTGTGCTCTGCTCTAGCCAAATCACATAACTATTTTGAACGGTCATGAACTTAACCCATTTATGACAGTTCAAGTGCAAGCTTTGCAGGCAAGCAGTGGCTCTAGCAAACGTCGCACCCTTATGTCACTTTCGATCATGGTGTGTGAACATGCCTGCGCCCCATCCCCCCCGCTGGTCCAGGGAGAGAAGAGAACACCACAATGTGAATAAAAGCACTACATTTTACACACACAAACACACATACACACACATTAGATTAGCACATTTAACCCTTTGATTGGCCCATCACCCAGCCAGTGCCATTAGTACAGTGTCAGTATATAGAATTTTTCACTGATTACTGTACTACTGCCACTAGTGACATCAGATAGATTCAGGGTCAGTAAGCTCCCCTTCCAGCCCGGGTCAGTTACTGATAAGATTGCCCGCACACTATCACACTCACTCTATAGCTCGCTGATCACTGCCATACCTACTTTGCCACTGCCTACTTTGAAAGGGGTAATTTGTTTTTTTTTTTGTACTGCCCTGGCATTTTAGCACCTCAACAAAATGTGATAGGCAATCAAAAAGTAAAAGCTGCGTAAATTCCAGTATATAAGCCATAATTTATAGACGTTATTTCACACAAACCAATATACATGTATTGGGAGGTTTTTTTTTTAATGAAAGTCATGCAGCAGAATACATTTTTGGCCTACATTTATGTCTAACTAAGTTTGATATTTTTTTAGAACCAAAAGCAGAAAAAATATTTTTTCCTTTCTTTTCAAGATTTTCAGTCTTTTTTCATCTATATCACAAAAAAAGATAAAAAAAAAAAAAAAAACAAAAAGAGAGCTCTAATTGTGGGGAAAAAAGGACATAAATTTTGTTTGGGTACAGCGTTTCATGACCATGCAATTACCAGTTGAAACAGCGCAGTGGTGAGTAGCAACAAAAAAAAAAAAAAAAAAAAAAAAAAGGCCTGGTCAGGAAGGGGGGGGGGGGGGGGGGGTAAATCTTCTGGAGGGCAAGTGAATAAGACTATCTTCAGAGCAAAGAACAAGGAGTCCTGGAAGTGATGATTTGACCCCTACAGAGCTCTTAACAACTTAAAGTGGAGCTCCACCCCAAAGGGGACGTTCCGCTTTAAGTCTTTGTCCCCCCCCCACTCCATTAGGGATTGGCAGCTTTGGAGTCTTCTGGAACACGTTGACAGGTCCATTCACAAAGTGCAGCACTTCTCACGCATGCACAGTGGGCACCTGCAAGCTGTCACGGCTGGGTGCCCACACTGAAGATGCCGGTGCCTGGGAGAGAAGACAGCTGGTGAAACCAGCGGTGGTGAGGACACCACTGGACCAAGGGACAGGTAAATGACTATTTTAAAAGTCAGCAGCTACAGTTTTTGTAGCTGCTGATTTTTTTTTTTCCCAGCTGGAATGCCGCTTTGATCAAGTCTGTCTGGGATTACAAGGACAGACAGGAGGATTTCAGGCAGCCTACATCCATAGAAAATCTGTGGTTAGTTCTCCAAAATGTTTGGAACAACCTACCTGCCGATTTCCATCAAAAACAGTGTGCAGTATTCTTAATTTACAGCATGTTTTTTTCACACCTAACATTTTTGCACAGTAATGTAGAAGTGAAATTCTAAATACACTATTAGATTTCTGTGTGACAGTCTGCCTGGCCATATTTGATAAATGCCAATGGGCCACATGTAAGAAATTGCATTGTCAGACCTCTTGATTATTGTGTGACCAGGCACTGTACAAAGGGCGTACCTAAACTTCTGGCTTTAAAAAGATAATTCCAGGATTCCTTCAAATAAAATTTGCCCAGCTTGGACTACGCCAATGATTTGCTTGCCAGAACAGATTGGCTGCTGTTTAGGCTGTAATAAACCGTAGTAGCTTGTGCTGTGTACAGTAAGCGGTACCGAGATGTAGCAATGGAAAATTCTAGGATTCTTTCAGGAATGGTTCACTATATAATTAGCAGTAAATATGTTAAACAGCTCAAACATGTATAAAACTC